TTATACTAAATATACCTTTGCAATTTTGAGCACATTAAGAAAAAACCTTAGTTGCCACTGTGTTCCTGCCTACCTCAACTTTTATCAATACATGCTCTAAAGAGCAAATTCAAGTTTTATACAATTTGATGACTGTTACTTAATGACAGACAGGAAGAAAACCCACGATAGTATTTTCAGCCCCAATAGCTGCCAAGGTAAGTGGTTATGACATAGTAAACTTTGTTAGCTTTCTCCCAAGTCCCTGTATAACACAGAGTGACTGCGGAGGCCATTCCAGTGTTTCTTACACACTTCTGTCAATATTAACCTTTTTCCCCCAGCTGGGCCAAACTCCCTAACTGTCATTTTAGCATATAAATACAAATACCCTTTCCTTTCAGGTGGATTTAATCTGAAAACTCTCCTCTACTTTCATTATGCAGCTCCAGTATTAGTAATGACATCTAAACCAGAGTTAATTCCTCAGATTACGACTGCAGCAAACGGCATGTTAAACAGCTAGTGTTTATCTCTGCACCAGACAATATTCAAAATCCTATAAAACAAGGAGGCCACACAAACCTTCCCTATATTAACAGAGCTTTGCTAGTGAAAGCAAGTTTTGCAAAACTCACAGAGAATTGGCATATTCAGTCCTCTTGGTTATCGTGCAAGTGCAAATGAACCTCCCCTCCCTTCCAGGGTATTTCTAAAAATTCAGTTTTTTTGAGAGAAACTCTAACAAGCAAGACTGCATTGTGTTGTGCTCCACTCTGCCTGGTTCGAGGGTGAGAAAATCCCATGTTACCTCCAGGGGAAACAGAGGACATGGCCTAGATGCAAGCTCCTCAACCAGGCACCCATGAGGGCAGAACCAGCGCTGGCTCCTAGTGTGCCTTAAGGTTTGTGTAATTTGTTTCCATAAAGCTCTGACAGTGTTCAGTAGGGAATTAATGGCAGTATCTTTCAAAACTGTGTCACGTATACGTACTGCAATACTCGACATATGCCTAGCATGTGCTATTCAAATAAAACCCACAAATACTGTACAAGCTCATTCAGAGTCAGAAGTTCAAAATGAGAAAAAAAAAAGGGGGGGACCATTATTTGTAAGATTAAAAGAGTATTATAGTGGGATTTCACTTTTAAAGCCAAATAAAAAAAGTTTATTTATTTCATGCAATTTACATCTGTCTAAAATTAGAATGGGTGTCTAGATGACTTTTTAATCACAGTGATACTGTACGAAAATCAACTCCTATTCAAATTGTATCTCCCAGTGAGATAACAATTTCTATATGCCGAAAAATGTACCATCTTGTTAATACAGATCTAAAATAGGAATGAAGCTATTTAAGTCTTTAGAAGACATTACATTTGATTAAAATAGCTATTATTACCCTATCATATCCGCAGTACCAGAACAGGGAACAAATTAAGGGACACTTTTAAAATATTAATTGAAAGTACAGTTCACTATTGTGAAACTAAAGCATAAGGGTTGCGTATTTTATATAGAAATAAGTGTTTTGAGAAAACACAGGAAAAAGCAAAGGATATGTCCTTGTAGTGAAAGTTAGAACTTCTTAAATTGTTTAGAAGGTTTTGAATGTCAAATGGTTTGCACTAATTTTCATCACATACCAAACCTATTGCAATTAAATCTACTGAGTTGGTAAGTATTTTTCATGCCTTTCAAAAGGAAATACTGCCTGGATGAATGGAGTGAGGTGGGCTGAAAACTGCCCAAATCCCCAGGCTTAAAGGGCATTGATCAATGGCTTATGCCCCACTGGCAGCCAGCAACGAGGACAGCCCTGCAGGGGTCAATTTTGTGGCCCATGTCAATCAACATCTCACCAGTGACCTGGGCAAGGACATAAACTACATGCTAACAAGTTCACAGATGACATTAAATTAGGAGGATGAGACGGCACGCCAAATGGCAGAGCTTCAATCAGAAGGATGTTGCTCAGCTTGAGAACTGGGCCAGAAGACACTTCATGAGGTTCAATAGAAGTGCAAAGGTCTGCACTTGGGGTGGAAAAATCCCATGCACTGGGAAGGGACGGCTGAGCAGCAGCCCTGCCAAAAAGCAGCAGGCACTTACAATGGGTGCCAGGCTGCAAAGGAACCAAGTGTGTTCTCATTGCAACATGGGAAACCCCATTCTGCGCTACACTGGCAGGGGATGTGGAAAGCCCACTATCCCCCGTGACTCAGTGCTGCTGAAATTTCACAGGTTGTCTAAAAATTGTAATTTGGATATAAGCCCCCAGACCTATCCTCTGTTAACCCATTCTCTTTAGAAATAGCACAAAATATGTCATAATGTCCCCCAAGGTTACAGGAAAAATTTAATAAAAGATTTTGCACAGAATCCAGAGAATTCTGCACTATAAGAAATTGCTTTACGGTACATCTGCTAGCACCTTTCAATTTTTGATAAAGACTGCAAATATTTTGTGATGCATTGTTTTGTGTTTCCTCTACTTACCAGTTACCTAATTTAACGTTCAGTAGGCTTAAAAAGTGCCATCAATAGAAAGATGTTGCATATCACAGATTTTAATTCTAAAAATGTTAGTTATTTTTCTTTCAATGAGCGTCAAATAAACAATTCTGCTAGCACCTTTCAATTTTTGATAAAGACTGCAAATATTTTGTGATGCATTGTTTTGTGTTTCCTCTACTTACCAGTTACCTAATTTAACGTTCAGTAGGCTTAAAAAGTGCCATCAATAGAAAGATTTTGCATATCACAGATTTTAATTCTAAAAATGTTAGTTATTTTTCTTTCAATGAGCGTCAAATAAACAATTGTGAAAAAATAATTGAATCAGTGATAGCATCTTTAGTGTTCACCAAATTTCAGTTTGCATTGCAAATAATGGCATTCACAAAGCACTAGCAGAACACTGTAAAACTAAAGACCTTATTTCTGTATTTAAATTAAACATCGACTTTCAAAAAAATTTGAGGACGTGCAATTTCTGTCCCTCAAATGTACTTGCAGTCATACACACATAATGCTTTCTAATATCACGGTGAACTGCACACAAAGACTGGAGTATGAGGTGGGCAAATGTTTAATAATGTTGTTTTTAAGGAAAGTTACACAGAATAATTAATTGCTATTTTGCACACAATGTGCCTATTTGATTCCTTTTTTTATAAAAAAAAATGCAAAACAAAAAAAAAAAAAAAAAAGTCAGACTAGGTTCAACTAGGAAAGAAAAAATATCGTTCTTTGAATAATTCAAAATTTTCTTTGGAAGAAATCCTGTTAATCTGCACGCAGTTTTTTTATACTAAGTATTCATAAGCAATTCATGAGCATTCACAGTTCTTAAAAAGTCTACTTAATATTTTCTGTAGGTTTTCATAGTTCTTCCTGATAACAGAACTGTGTAAGAAACTGGAATTCATTAGTAGCTAGTTGCTCTGCCAGTTGCTTTGCCATACAAACAAGGGGAGAACTAAATGCCTATTAAATAATCAAAGTAATCTCAGTTCTGTAAGGACCTGACTCTGCAAAAGGAAGAAGCAGGCAGAGAGCTAGGTATGTGTGGTAATCTACCGAGAACTGTTCAAGCAACTCTGCTGGCAGGATCACATACCTATATAATCTTTCTTTTTAGGTCTCAGTACTGGAATCAATCTTAAATAGAAAAATTCAAGTGCGCTATGTACACTGTGTATGTGTAGAAAGAAATACAGGGTATATGCATGAAATCTAACCTATCATCAGTGCCTGGATGTATAATACATGCATAAATGGAAGACTAGATCATACCATATGGAATGCAGTTTTCACCTAATAAAATTACTTTTTTTCCTTTTATTAAAATCTGCCCTCCTACTGTTTAATGTTTCAGAGATTTTCAAATAGAAAGTGCCAAGCCTTCTCCCACATATATTAACTGAGGCTTAGCAACACATAAGGGACTTGGTTCTTAATCAAAAAATATAGAATCACTTTATGAAAAACTGTAAAATATAATTTTGCACAAAAGCTATTTTGGCAACACAAGTAGTAGTTGTTAGCTACAATGCATGGGAGCCTCTGCCATACTCTCAAATATAAATTTAGATAAGAGAAGTGGATGGGGAAAAAACAGAGCCAGTAAAGTAAACAGTAAGTGTGGCAGAAAATAGTTGCATTTACAGTACTATCCAGCTTCTGGAGAGAAGCCGCAGACCTTCCCATGAAATCTTTCTGTGCTTTTAACGCTGTTGCAAAGCTTCAGGGAATTCTCATTGTATAAACAGTTATGGGGAAATGAGACTCACTGTGAGACTATGTCCAGCCAGTGGTAAAAGTGATGATTGCATCTCAGCATCAGTCATTTAGAATATGAACTTTCTGACTAGTAATTCATATGCATTTACCAAAATTGTCTCAAATTCAACCAGTTAACAGTTTCTTTTCAGTCTGATTATACAGTCAGCTTCCCAAAGCTAAAGCATGTACAGTAGATCTCATTCCTCTGAAATACAGTTAGATGTTTGGTTGTCTTTTGATTTTAAATAATGCAGATTCTCCAATATTTATATCATGATAAAATTCTAGTGCTTTAAAAATCTGCCCTTCACACAAGCCTAAGCATACATATTTTAAAATTACTTACTGTACATCTTCATATTTTGTTTAAGGCATGAACAATGGCATATGAATGGGAACAGCTTCCGGAAAAGCATATCTTTTTGACAAAGGCCAGTCCAAGCACATCACACCAAAGGACTAACCTGAAGCCAGAAATGACAGTGTTGTGACCCAAGAGTTTTTAACAAAAATAGTTGAAATAAAATGGATTTTTTCCTCTTTTTCTTCCTTTTTTTTTTTTTTAATTTAAATTACATTACTGTTAATGTCTGTTTAAAGCACCGGTTGCAGTTTTGCGTTTACCACCTCTTCCGAGTGACTTTGGATAACTCATCTGCTTCTTTTGTTCTGAATTTTCAGTGTATGAAACTTTAAAAGGTTTCTGTTTCTTTTTTTTTTTCTTTTTTTTTTTTTTTTAATGGCTGCTGCAAAATTAAAAAGATGCAGAAGTGGTGAGGGGCCTGGTCTAATGCACTTTCAAAAGTCCGTTATAAAGATTAATATAAATGTGAATGATAGGTTTTTCCATAGACCCACAAACCACGCTTAACTATAAGAAACATATTGTGCATAGTTATTTTTTTCTTCAGAGTGATATGTTTACTAGATCTACATTCTCAGTTTACCAGAGTACGGGAATTTCTACTTTACTAAAGCCAGGATCCTTTCGCAGTTCCCAGTAGGTGTCATTGGTAACCCAGGCTTCTCTTTGATTAGCGTCGGTAACTTTAAAAAAGAAAAAAAAAAAAAAAAAAAAAAAAAGAGAGAGAGAGGAAAAAGAAGTTCTGACCATAGACCTCTGCTCTTATGCAATATGAAATTAAATTCCATACCTCTCTGATCTAACCCAGTACTAAATCTGATTTAATATTTCTAAAGGACACAAGAACAGTCAGGGATTTAAAAATAAAAATCAACCTCTACCTGTGTCAAAAGTGGAAGGTTTAGAAAACAGCCAAGATCGCAAATCTGTTGCGTGAACTGTGTGAGCAGGTCTTACAGCCACATAAAGCCTCTTTGCCCATTACAGATTCTGATTACGTGCAGGGGATCAACCAAGAGATATAGCTTGCAGAATGCAAGCCTTTTACAATTTATATTGTTTGTCTCCTCTGTATTTTGCTCATCTTTCACTACAAAACTGCATCAAGCACATTCAATCTTTTCACTTTTGACCCCATGCTATGATTCCCCACGCTAAACATCAGGCTATTTGATATGACTATCCCTTGTTTCAGAAGAATGCTTAATTAAAAGTAAAAACAAACAAAAAGACCTCTCCACTCAAAAATAAATAAATTGTAATTTAAGTCTGTATATATATACATTTTTATATATATATGTACGATGTTGTTGTTCAGGTCGCTATTTATTACTTTGTTTATGCAATGACTTAAAACAATAACATAGTTAAATCTTAGATCCTAATATTATACTTCTATTCTACTTCAAAGTCCAAAAAACATTGGCCAAGGGGTGCAGCAGGCTTGTATAGCTGTTGCCCATTGTGAGAAAATGATCTTTCAATGATGAAGCTTTAAACTATGTAAAAATTGCTTCAGGCAGAAATCAGGTATCTGATTATTTTTCTTAAAATTGCCATTTTCCAGGCCTTTACAATTAACAGACTACGTTGGTGGTAATTCTTGTAGTACTTTGTCCAGTCACACGATAGAAAACAGAGACTTAATACTGAAATGAATAGACTCACTTAAAAAATTTGGGTACATATTCAATGCTGTTTTCTTCCATGTAACGCCTCCGACCTCTCTGGAGTTCCTCTATTCTTTGTTTCTCGGATGCTGCCGCTTCTACATTTCCTTCCTCCAGAAGCCTGTGTGAATAACACCAGGTCCTATAGCAATCATACAGTGCCTAGAACAAGGGATTTTCTAGCACCCATCATCACAAAAGACAAGCAGAAGCCAAGCCTGTTGTCTGTGTTGTACCCACTTTCACATCTAGTCATAACCTCATAAAATAACCGAGACGTGACTCCCCAGTTACATGTACCTGACTTATAGCCTAAGGCATACGCTTTCTTTAGCAACTTCAGCATATCACAAACATTGAAGTACTATGAACTGAGAATTAGGAGGGAATTAATGTTGCTTCCACTCATAGCAGGAGGGCATGACATTTCAGAGCCTGTCTTTCCAGTTTGTTATGAGGAATCCTACCTCTGCCCAAAGATTGCACTATAGCTCTACTATACCAACAAGATGCTTTCTACTTTCCCTCAACTGGGTAAAGCAGAAATTTGATTGCAATACTGAATACCTTCTCTGCTAGCAGAATCCTCCAAAGCTTAGTTCAGACTGTAGTGAAGACATATACAAAATTCAATACTCAGCCAAACCCAGCCTTAAAACCACCAAATATTAAGTGTATAAATAAGCATTCTTGCCTTTGATCTGGCCTGAATCGTGCATCTGTTGTAGGAAGAAGATCTTTCAGTAAAGGATCTAATTCATTGAGCTCAATAGCAAACCTCGTGAAGCCATAATAACGTTCATAATTGGTTGGCATGGAGCCTGTATGAATATGTATGAGAAAGAAAAAAGCTTTTTAAACTATTACTCTAAATATGCAAGGATTCATTTATTAAATTATAACAGCAAAAATATTAATATATTTTACTCTTACATACAATTAAAACACATCAAAAGTTATTCTCTAGGTGGAACAACTTTCACTAAATATTAATTTCAACTGCTTATCCTGCAGAGGTCGTAATTACATGCTAATAGATTCAAAACTTTTATGATCTTCCTTCCTTTTTAAATAAAAATTACTGCAGATTTTCAAATTAAACATAGTTTCCTGTTCTCTGGAAAGTGAGCTTATCAAACATCTGTATAAAAGCTAACCTTAACTGATCTTCAGAGTTAATTTTGGAGCATAACACTCACTCACAGACTGATTTGGCACTGTCCAAACACCTTCAGCACTAATGGCAGTCAGAGCAGATGTTGCAGAGAGTAGGGTGCAAAGTAGGGTTCAAAATACTACCAATACAGAGTAGGGTTCAAAATACTAACAATAATAACAATTCCTGGATAACCACTCTGCATGTATGAAAGATACTATAGGTGCAAAGGATGACTAATTCAATCTCACCATCTCTGAAGACCAATCCTTTAGGCTAATAAAGCATTAAGACAACAAACTCAATGAACTGGCACTTTCTATTTGTTGAATCCAAATAAGCTACCCTGCTCTCTGTGAGAAGGCAGGCAGGCAGGCCCAGACATCCAAATTTTTTCTTAATTTTATTCTTATGTTGACCCCAAGACCCCAGAATATTTGACCAGGAGTCAGACTGAGATGTAGAAGACTATGCCCTGTAGGAACATTTCTATTTACCATGACTATAAACTCATGTAAGTTCTTGTTTATTTGTCTAGCCAGAAATTTAATCTCTCCAGTAGTATTTTGTGTATTTAAAATGATGGCTAAAACAGCTTTACATAGTTTAGAGTTACACTACAGTGCCTGCCAGAGTTTATTACAAGCTTCTTACCTGGCCTCCATACGCATTTGGCTGATGGTGCAACCCCACAATAAAGGCCTTCATGCCACTTTCCAAAAAGGCGATGAACCACCTTCCCTTCTTGATCTATCACAACACCCTGGACCTCATTTACATTTGAATTCCAGTAGTTCACCTGCAAGTTTAACAAAGACTTACTAGTTCACACTGTTTTTTGCATTACCCATTGTACCAATACAGATACTGCATGAATCTTAATATGTGGCACCGACTGTCCAAATTTTGTATTGGAACAGCTCACCTGGAACCAAGAATATCAGAATTCGAAATTCAGATGATCTGGATATTAATTGATTTAGTATATGAGAAACCCTGAATAATTTGATATGTGGTTTTGGTATAAAGGTATTTAAATTATCTGCACATCTGGGAACTATATTGTTGTTCATTAACCCAAATCCCACACAATTCAGCAAAAATGACACTTTGAAAGTTGCAAGATCAAAGCCAGCTAACTCTCTTCTTTCTATATGGAGAAATACTGAATATACCTGTACATGTAAGGGAATCCTTTGATGGGTGCTGCACACTACTGTTTGCAGCAGGGAAGACATTCAGCCAGTATTACTTGTTATTTGTTGCTTTCTGTTTCTCTTCTCTGTTTTGCTTTTCTTAGACACATTTATTTCTTACACCTTCACCTACTGAGCCAGTTGCCCATTCTCAGAACATCCATCAAAACATGAATTTCAGATTTACGGTAACGCACCATTGCTAACACTGCAATGGTATTGATGTATTTTGTTGCAATATGAAGCCAAACTTATTTTTAGGGAAAATAATTGATAATAACATAGCTATACAGTGATCTGTCTTTATATATGGTCCTTGCCTGGATATTAAAATACTATGAACGAAAGCTGCATTATTTAATCTAAAGAGATAAAATATTGACTGCCAAATTCTAGTAAAGGCAGAAGTAAAATGGCACAGAAGTCTACGGTGACTTTGCATTTTCATTGTGGTAATAGAAAAGAAATTTTGATATTTCATTTTTAACCTAAAACCAACAACAGTATAGCACACAGCTATACAGCAATGCAACACACTGATATCAAATGTTCAATGCAATAGTCATACTACTTGACATAGCACTCTCATTTGACAATTTACATATTTACAAATGTTGATAAGACAAAATGTGGAATGTGGATTTCAGGAATACTGAAGAAACAGCTTGATGTATGCTTAAACTATGCAGTTTTATGAATATATGATATGTATTAGAAAACATGTTACCTTGACAAATGTGAGTTTACAAATACAAACACTGCTTTTTGTGTTTCTGATAGTTATCTCTCCATAGTGTTCTATCCACCTCCTTCCACTAAGAATATTATGTATGCAAGTGGTGACTTTGTTCCAGACATAGTAGTCTCCATACCTAATAACAGAATAAGAAGTAGTTGGTAACATATATTAATCATGATCATTACGGACAAAAGAAGTAAAAAACATAGCTCCATTATCATAAATACAAGACCATATGCCTCAAAAGCTTTTGAAACAATAGTTTACTTCAATAAAGCACTGGTTCTGGGTACATTACTAATCCTCAATCGAGGAGCTCACCTAAGCTCTAGTACAGAGAACTGAAGAATAGTGCTATGAACCACAAATCAAGACATTATGAACCACCGAAGCCCTGCATGGCATATTCACTGTCCTCAGAGCATTAAGTGCTTTGGCCACAGTTCCTTTAGGGGCAGGACAGTAACCCAAAGATCAATATAACACTGAATTGAGGCTATAAGCAGACAATATAATTAAATTACAAATAGAACAAAATAAATATGGAAAGGAGATAACAGAAAGGAAGTAGGAAGTAGGAGCTCACTGGCACATCATCCCTTTCCCTCTGTAAAAACTACTCAGTGTCAGAGCATCTCTATTGTCAAACAAGGGACTAAAATGAGGGAATTATATTGTGCAAAGCACATTCTCCTTCGAAGCTGAGGGGCAAGCATGAAGACAGAAGACAAAGATGCTCCTGAGTGCATTTACTTCAATTTCATGACATGGATAAAAAGGTGATGTGGAGTGATGCCATACTGTTAGAGACAGAAATAAAGGCTGGCTGCAATGTACAGGAGCAGGAATAGTACTGCAAAACCAGCAGATATGTTTAAAGTATCCTCTCCTTGCATATTCTCAGGATTTACAACTTGCAGCTAGTCTTACCTGTGGTGAAACTTCTTCTCACTACTCTGTCAACATCTGAAGAACATGTTTTGGCTTACCTACATTTTGAAAAATGACCTTACATTGTTACTAGTGGTTGTTCTGAGGGAACACTTAGCAGTACTGAGAGCCTTAGTAAGGACAGTGCTAGCTGCTGACAGTCCTATATTGCAGCCTTGTTCTGAACAGTTGATCACTACTGTACATATAAAACTTGGTTTCCCACTCCTAAAGCATTTCTATCCCACTCTGTCTATCACTTTCTAGAGAGTTTGTATATTTTTCCTCCAAAAACCCAAATGGATCCTCAGGCTCAAAAATGCTTCGGTATCCCCACCTGTACACTAAGGAGAGATTTTGAGTTAGGCACTAACTCTCACCAGTACAATTCATGTAACGTCTGCATACACTTCCCCCAATCCATTCACAAGCCAGCACAGATTAGATTGCAGCAAAGACTGAAAACAAAAGGAAATAGGACAGTAGCTTACTTTGGAAGAGTCACATTCAAGGTTCCAACCGGCAGAATTTCCATTGATTTCCCCCAGAATTTGTTTTTCCACCTGATATCTGAATATAATAGTGAAAGATGTACAAAACTGAAAAGACCAAAGTCTCTCCCTTGCAGTGATCTGCATGGCACACAAGATGATCTATGCCAGACCATCCGGTTTAAAACAGGACAGTATGAGGTTGCCATGAAAATACAAAAGAAAAAAAAAAATGCTAGAAAATTACATTAGGTCAGAAAAACTAACGATAAGTTTGATTTTCTTCTAGGAGTCATGCCCGTGCTACATTATTGTCAGATCTCTCATGAAAACATTCAATACAAGTTAAATGCATATGCCAGTAAACAGAAGGAAAGAAAGAGCTGCTTGTTCAACTGTGTAAAAGGACCTGCTTGTATTTGTAAGAAATAATAATTTTCTTGGTAAAAAGCTTTTAAGCAGAAAAGTATAAACAGACTGCAAGTGACAAGGGAAGTTGTAACACGTCTTCTCACTTTTAAGAATGAGAATTCAGAGTGAAATAATTCAGAGCATCAGTTTGTAATATGTTACCACAAAAATAATAAGTATAGAAATTTTGATTAAATTCCAAATGCAAAGCTCAGCTTGTACAGACCAAGTTTTTACTTGCTAATAAAAAAGGAGTTTATGCTTTTGAATTAAAAAAAGTATACCTTGCCAAAACACAAAGTTCTTCGATTCACAGTGACAGGCCGAAATGGGAGGATGGTGGCTAACCTGGAAAACAGTTTGGCTGAGTTAAAAATAATTCATTTTCATTTCTAAGACAATGCAATTGTTACTGCAACATGAAAATACTAAATAGCCCACAGTATTTATTAGTCTATGTTGCTATGAAAACAGATGCAACTTAAGGTTGTACTTAAAACGCTATGTATTTAAAACACTTCCTTGTGATTACTATAAAAATATATAACTTCTAGCATTTAACAAAGTTCACTCATACTAACAACCTTTCCTACTATCTAAGAAAGCAAACCATTCTAACTAGAAAGAAAAAACAAGATTACTTTATAAAACAAAGAAACAAAATCTAAATCTAAACAGGAGTGTCTATCTAGAAACAAGCTTTACCTGCTCTGAGAAAAATCGAAATCCTTTGTCTTCTCTAATACATTCATAAGTTTCACCAAGCACTGGATTAAATGGCTTGCTTCCCGCTCTAAAGTATGTCGAGGCATAGCCTGACGCTGCAAAAGCAGCTATGAGAACCTGTGAAAATACAGACAAGAACGTAATTGAGAATAGGCAGAGATTCTTGTGTATATGCCATCACTACGTGGTATCACACAACTCACTCCACTCAGAGTGAAATCTGCATTAATGAAGCATGCCTGAGAGTGAAGCCATACATCCCAGACAGAACCAGTACAAACTGTATTTCTTTTGTAGATATAATTTGTTTTTCTTTCATGGCCTCAATCAGTCTCTTTCAACAGTCCCCTAAAATAACAATCTGCGCAAGATACTGTTTTCCTACCTTTGACCAGGCTTATCACTAATGATCTAAAACACAGACCCAGCTCTAGTCTATGGTCTCTCTGAATAAATATTATTTGATAACTTCTAATGACAAGATCACATACCATTTTCCTATGGGAACTATTTTATTTAGTGCCAAACATAAATGGCTCTCACTTAGGATGTCCTTAATGCAGAGTTACCTCAGGATCTTCCACGCATGTGCGGCCTTATCAGCCCCCTTGTCTACATGTACAACCAAAATTTAGTAATCTCTAAACCAGGCTTAGCTGGGAGTAATAAGCCAAGTGACATGCCACGGTAATTTAGATTACATCTCCCTTTAGCAGAGTTAAAAAAAAAATAGTATCACAACAGGCACTCAGAAGTCCAAACAAAACTTCAGAAAAGCAATATGGGGATAAAAATCACTCAGCTATGGATATAATCTGCTAACAGCAGGGCAAACCTTAACCAGGTCCTCCTTTCCTCATGCTAGCGAGGACGTAACACTCGTGTGAGCTTTTACTTGCTTTGTTTTCTTCCCACTGTGTAATGGGTGCTCCATTCTCTATTCATTTCATATTATTCCTAAATGCAGCATCAACAGAATTAACGCTCTTTTCACGGGCTTTTCTTCAACAGTAAAAACCTTCATTCTTCCAAAACCTTTTTCATTAATTTAACTATAAGAACCTACAGAGAAATGAGGGGTTTTACTATCCTTATGATATATAAAGCAATGAGAAGAAAAAAGTTTCCACTACTTTTGGATGCTTACTTAAGATAGCAAAGTCCTGATTTTTCAGAGAACGGTGAAGAAGCAGGTAACATTCACAGCTCTGCTACCGCTGATGTTTTGGGTATTCAGCACTTCTGCCAAGTAGTCCCACATGCCTCAGCTTGAGTGTGCAATTTGCATTTCTAAGGTGCTTGTTAAAAGTTTGGCTTGTATGCCCAGTATTGCACTAGATATCTGTAGCAGAGAAGGGGATTGAATACACGTTTCCAAGGAAGCTTTCAGTTGCACCGTGGCTTTTCCTTCCTGAACTCTCCTGACTCCTTCAATACTCACCTTTCAAGCTTTTCAACAAAGGAGGCAGAGTCCTACAGGCAAACAGCCTGCTTTACTCAGTACAACCCTGCCCAGTCCTTACAGGATCTCCCTTTTGTGAGGGACATAAGGATTCTTGTAGGAAAAAAACATGTGATGATAAGTAATTCAACCCCCTATCATAAGACAGGTCCAACTTCTTCAGTGACAAGCTAAAAATACCGGTGTTTAGGACCCCTCGCCCTCCTGCAGGCCACGTGAATATGGTAGTTCATGGACCTGAGCGTGTGGCTATAAGACAGCCACAGGCAACCTCTCTTCTCCCAATTATCCACAGTGCTGCTAACCCATACCAGAGAACGGTAGATACGTTCAGCAACAACACCACCAACTTTCCCCTAACAGCCTTTCCCTGTTTCTTCTGAGAAAAAAGAGACATGACAAATCAAAACACCATGAGAGCTGAACATAGGCTGTTGACTGTCAAGTCAAAAAACCAAGACATACTTACAGGGGAGCTGAAGTCAGGCTGCCCAGGCAAACTTTGCTTTGGTGTTTTGGAACTTCTCTATTAGAAATTGCCTAGGATGACATCCTATTGACACCTACATTGATCATAAGCCAGCCACAGACCTGATGATTAGCTCTGGGAGGCTGCTGGACTCAATCACTGAAAGCCAGGAAAGGATGCTGCAGGGTTAGAAACTGCCAATGCCTACATATACAGTCCTAGAGAGCAAGATCAGTCTTCACAACAATGAGTCACAATTGCAGGACTTGGTTTGAAGTCAAGAAAAGTCCCTCAGCCTTTTCCAAATCAAATGTACCACCTGTAATTGTTCACAGCTTTCGTCTGACCCATCAGGGAGGTCTGTTGTCTGTGAACAGGAAGAGCAAGAGAGGACTCTGCACAGATCTCCACTCAACAGCTCCCTTTTAATACAGACATAAGAAGTGCTACACTAAATTTATTACCATGCGTTCATAAGGATCATCTGTTTCGGCAGCCTTGTCCAAGAGTTCACTGTATTCCAGCTCTTCACAAAGATGTTGCAAGGTATTCAGAGGTTCATTTAGCTCAACTGGCATCGATACTTTGGAAAGATCTTTGCCAATGTTATTTCTCAAAATGTTCCACAGATTGATGTTACTGGTGTCAGGGCTGGGAGCTGGGAGACAAGTTCTCCGTCCATTCCTGAATGCGCCTCCTGTCAGCTCACCATTAAGAACTGGGAAGGGAAAAAACTATTATCATAAGAAAGCACCAGATTAAGAAAAACAGACTTATCCATTGAACCAAATCAAGCCAGAACAAGCCAGAACAAGCAAGCCCAACTTCACTGATTTCAGCTGAGTTGGTCTTGTACAGACATGCAGTAAATCTGGTACATGAACATAACCAATGTAATTTCCCAAAGTTTAAAACATAGCAGTGTACTTTGCCGAGAAATGTTGTCTGCAACACTGGTGTTGTCCTCAGATATATTGTCACTCACATCACTGATATAAGATTCATCATCAGAAGCCTAAAACATAAATAAAATATCAATTAAGTCAAATACATATAAAATATATTGACAAATTAGACAAAAATAATTAACTGAAACACAAACATTCAAAGAAATCATCTCTACCCAATTAGAGCTTTTAACTAAATCAACTGGATATTCCAATCAGCCCATACTGCCAGTGCACTAAAAGTGTCAAAACAAATGCTACGCTCTCCTTATATTTCTGAATTCCTTATCATGAAGCCAAATACAGACATTAAATGTGCAAAAGGGTTACTTCAAATGAGATCAGAGATGAACAAAAAATTGACAACGTAACGCAGTGGGGATGAGAGTTGAGAAGAGATAGTCAGATTTGTGCTCTTTATAAAGAACCAAACAATAAAACACAACTTGCGTTTCAGAAAAAAAAATTATATAAACATTGATCTATCATTTTGCAAAACAAGAACTACATCAGTGTTAAGACTATTTTTAAGAATTTTTTTAATAAAAAATTTTTCAGAAATATTAATTTCAAAATATTTTACAGTATTTACTGATGACAGTATTTATTATAAGGCCTATACCATTTGGGGGTGATTTTACAAAGTTTCCATTTTGTTTATACCGTACAGACACACCAATTTTCCATGCTGATATAGACCATCCAGACTATTGAGATAACATGTACTTTACACCTGCCAGAAGCAATAAGATAAGGAACCATTCCATTCTTTAGATGAACAACTCTACCAGTGGTTGTGCCAACTCGTGGCACATAAGCAATCCCTATCAAAGAGAAAATATAGTGGCACACTCTTATTTCCTCTTACAGAAGAGTTGTGGTAGACCACAGCAGTACTGTGGCTTTATAAAAAGGTATTTTACAAAATAAATAAATTTTTAAAATTGAAGAATTTATTCAGACTAGCACAGAAAAGCTGTGGACAGCAACATGATTCAGTAGCCTGAACTGTATCTCATTCCTTCAACTTTGAGCTCGAGTGAGCCAATTTTTCAGGCTTTTGTCTACTTATCTGACTAGAGAATAATTTTATATGTACAGTAGAAGACTTTTTTTTTTTAAAGAATATTTTAAAATCTAAATTAGTTGACTACCTAAGTCAGACGTAATTGCTCTTGACTATGTGATCCTTATCTGAACCTGCCATAGTCTAGTAAGGATATGTACTGAACATAAGCTACTGATACAAACAACTTTCAACTCAGTTTTATACTTCAGGGAACTTCTGCACCCCATTCACAAGGGAGTCTCAGGTTCATTTATCTACACCTTACACATTCTGATACCTTTTTATTCTAAGTAGCATTATAAAAAAAAAACAAAACAATCACCTAAATCTGTCCAACAGCAAAGCTGCAGCATGCTGTCATAGCCTACCTCATTTTCTGACGAGCTGGCAGATAGAAGTACTTCCTGTGCATCAAAGAACTCTGAAACTGATTCCGACATAGAGAGCCTGCTCTCATTAGAAACTTGCTGAGACAGTGGCAAACTGACATGAATTTGTTCACCCGTCTGTAAATAAAGCACAGAAAAATAAAAGTATTCTTTCTAATATAAAAAATATACATAGAAGAGGTAAATCACCTGAATAATTTTTCTATGCCAAATATAAGCACAGATAGTAAAGACAGCATTTTAGTAGGGCTTTGTGTGTACCTAACGGATGAGACTTTGACAATTACAAAATAAAGTGCATTTTGAGCAGTGAGATACATGTCTTCATTTGAAGCCTGCTCAGCATCAACTGCTAAGTTTTAGCAGCGCAAATTAATCACAGATCTAGCTCTGTATTCAGAGGAATGATTTTGTGGACAATAGCTGGATTGTGTCAGACAAGTTCAACCATGAAATTCAGATGAAAAGACACCTGGTCATAACAAATTAGATCACTGGGAGCTAGCTTTGATACAACCAAAACTCAAAGATAAAGCTTTATAAGGTCAGGGAGTTATAAGTTACTTTCAAAATAAATGCACTTGTGAACCAGTTTAGTAACAAATGTTTGAAATGTTTGAATTTTCAGGAGGATGGCTATAATACATATTTATGTGTTTTTATTCCATGTTTGTACTCCAAATCTCATTTGAATTATGCCATTAACACCGACTCAATACTACTAAAGGGAATGAACTCTCTATGGTTTATAAGAAAGAGAATTTAACAGCAAAGGCAAGGGTTCAAAACTGTGTTATGTGTGTATCAGTATGGGGGCTAGCTAATTTAAATATTGGAACATACCTTCATCTTCCTGCTATTGATGGGAGGAACACCAGGTTTCAATGTGTTACCCTACAGGCTATCGCCTTAAGAAGGGGGGGAGAAATATTAAGATTCTCTCCCTGCACCATTCTACCAAAGGAGCTGCTGCTGTGGAGGGAAACAGGCTTCTGACTTAATCCCTTAATTTATACAGCATGTTGCTTCTGGGAGATAATACAGATGAAACTACTGAAGCCCTTCTGAACACAGTTAACTCTTCAGATTGCAACTCTATCCCCATTAATCTTACTACAGAAGTCCTGCAGATGGTTTTGTTGACATCTTAATCCTGTAGAATTATTCTATATAGTTGCCTCAAAATGCACTAACAGAAAAAAAAATCATAAACAAGCCAAGAGGTCAAAACCCATTCCTTTTTCACTGGGGCTTATAAGCTTGTAGATGGTTTATGATGTTTCATGAATTATAATGGAAACAGAAGCCCATTTCACTGTTACCTTTACAGGAAGTGATTAAAATTCTAAGTTTTTGTATAAGCTAGAGGGATTTGGAAAAATACACATGCCCCTACCTGAAAAAGATGCTCACACAGGCATTATCTACACACTGCAAGATTATATATATAAAGCAGTCAAGAGAAGAAGTGAATGAGAGATCTGGGAACCTCTTTGAAAAACTCCTTTAGTCAGACACACTTCTACCAAGATAAAAATGTACATATGAAAAAGAAACAGCTAACCAACAAAAAATACAAAATAGAAGATATGGTCATTGCTCAGAACTTCACTGCAGGTTGCTATGCTGTGGCACCGCTTCACCTCTATCTTCTGTTGCTAGTCTCCAACGTGCTGGACTCTTGGAAAAATTGTTTGGACGTTTTCAAAAAGCAAATAAACAAAAGTAATTGGAAACATATTTTCACCTTCCTTTCTTGTTGGAAGAAATAATTAGGAGACAAGAGTATGTTAATTGAAATGCACAGAAATTGAAATGCATAGAAAAAAATTAGTGGAAATGACAAATGAAAAATATTTCAGTAAAATGCAAGCAGAATGGTTGTCAAAGTGACCACATTAATTGTAACATATTACAGCTCGCAAATTCAGATTTGTCCTTCTCATGAGAGAAGCTGACTTGTTATTAATACAAATGTTTGGTAATCTGTTGACTGAGGAAAGCAAAACAAGAAAGACTAGGTGTTGCAAACGTGGTATCAGTATAGTGCTTGGTTCATAGACTGAACCTTTTGTTTTCAGCAGTGCCACTCAAGATAAACATCAGTCCCTTTAAGCACTTGCAGGATCAGGCCATTAAATACTAAACTGTTCTGTTGATTTGGCAAGAAACTAAGATACAGAATTGGTTAGCTACTGTGTGTTACATTCAAATACAGTAAAACCTCACTAATTCCCAAAGCCAACAATTAATATTCCAAAACTGGAGTCCTTCCCTGTTTCTCTGCAGAGACCAAACTGAGTTCTTTCATGAGATCTAACATATGCAAAATAAAAGACAGAAGTTTTATTTTATGTACTGAAAATATAATCTGATTTTTTCTATAAATGAACACTTGCCAATCTGAAAAATTTATAATTTGCCAGGCGCGTTTCAGCTATTAGTGAGAATTAGCAAGGTTTGATTGTACTCTAAATCCATTAAAGGCCAAAGTCTTACCTCATCAGGACTAGGGATAATATTTACACTGACAACCTGATCACAAATAACAGATTCTGAATGTATTCTGTTCAAGCGACTCCTTAGTTCAGCATTCTGGTTGAGAGCCTTAAAATAAAAATTGCACATTTCATTTAAAATTAAATAGTAAGTGTTAAACAGGAAAAAAAAAAAAAAAGTAGCTTCTTCCAAGCAATTTCCTAAGAAATCACAGAACCTCCTTTATTTCATTTTTAGAGAGATACCTATTGTGAGATCCTCTCTAACATGATTTAATCTTTTGATTGGTTTGCCTTCAGTGATTTTCAGGAGGCAGGGGGGACAGATATTCTCCCACAATGTAACAGTGGCATTCTACCTTAATTCTTCAGATAGCTCTTTGACAGGTATACTGGTGGATTATGTACATGGGGAGTGAATGCAGCAAGAAAGAATGAAACTGCAGAACAACAAATGGGAACTACCCGCAAAATGCCCAAAGAGGCAATTCTTGGTTTACAACTATACAGCCCTTTCTGAATGAAGGTTATCGGCATTCAGAGCCTGCAAAAGGAAATTGCCTCCTTTCCAGCAAAAACAACATAATTGCTCGTATCATTGGGTGTTTGCCCGTCCAGGTCAATTTGACATATTTGCATGTGTGTACTCATTTCAAATTACTGATCCATTAGAGTGTCACAAATACCAATAGAATTCAACTGGTGTCTGGTATCTGCTGATTTTTCTCCTTTTTTAAAGCCCAACCTAGATTATAAATTTGGGTGCATATATACATATTGTCTGTTATCTAGAAAGAACTCATGTGCAAGATTCTGAAATCCAGAAGAAGTGTAATATGTTACATACCTAGAACATGAACTGACTTAACCCTAATATATCCCCAGTACTGAGGATTATAGAAAAGAACAACAGACAGACATACTGTTTTAGTAGAAAATGACTGTTATAACGGAGTAAGAATCTCCTTCTGCCTCCCCCTAGTGCAGACTCAGGAATAGATTGCATGAGTGTACTGAAACAAAGTAGGACCAAAGTAAAATAGGTTAGCTTAAACTGCCACTAAACAGTTTAAATTACCCCATTTTGCTTTATTCTGAAACGGTCTGGGCATGTTCACAGTTGCCATCTACCAGGAAGGGAAGGTGATGACTAACAGCAGCCTGGCAGTAGCTTCTTAAACTGCTCAAACCTGGTCATGAGACTGGTCAAACCCAGCCATCTGACTAAGGTCAAATTTCTATTTATTCCCCATTGAGACTATGAACTACTGTGTGACAGTGACTTTTAGACTGACACTGGAGGCCAGGAACAAGAAGAAAACATCATCACCTATTTCATGCAAATTGCTAATAAGTCACCACAGGTCTTAGTTAAATTTGTATCAATAACCAGAAATGGTTACCCTTATCTCTCGTCCTTAATCTTTTTTTATTACAACACACAGTAATCAATCTGCATAACATGGTATGTATCTGTATCTATAGAAATGTTGTGCATCAATTTTAATCTCATAGCAAAAACCTCCAACCCAATAACAATAAGTGTATGAAATTATATACACATTTGGGTGAAGTTCTGCTTGCCTTTAAACCTCTGCTCACATTTTTTGCAGATGCAGTACTCCACACCAATCCATTCTTCAGAGTAAAAGCTTTTATGTTTCCTTGACAATGAATTAAAAAATCCAAGTTATTTTGCAACCTGAGGACTTACTGTTGCTTTACCTCTTCTTCCCCACTAAAGCCAATGACAATTTTTCCTTTGGCTTAAGTGGGAGAGATGCTGGACAGTAACAGGTGTGTATCTGAAAATCCAGTTTACCCATGATTATCTTGTAACCCATGATTCCTTTTGCAGTTAGAGACATGGACATATAAAACAAATCTGAAGATGTACAGTCAAAATTTAAAACTTAATTAGGAAAACAAGAATATCTCCTTGGCTGTGCTGGAAACAGCTCCAGGAAAGATATTCAGCATTTGTATAAAAACATTTGATCCTTTTTCTTTACTTTGGAAAACGATAACAGATACATGCTTACACAAACAAATTATATCCTTCGCCTCCACATGCATTGAGGTTAGTCCTATGTTATAACAGAACATATGTCATAGTTCTGGTCAAAAACTTGTTTTTTTCTTGGCTCCTTCTACCTCAGCAAATGGCCACAATACAAAAGAAATAGTGCATCTGGCAAGCTAGATGTGCTTGAAATCAAATCAAGAACATACCTGAGAGAGGGACTGTCTGAGGTGTGCTATTTGAGCATTGTGGCCTGTAAGATCCTGCTCTGAAACAATCTGCTTAAGCTTCTCCTTCTCTATAGCTATGCTGTTAAAGGCAGACTTCAAAAGAGAATGCACTAAGCAAAAAGACAAAAAGAAAACAAGTGTTTTCTCAGCTACAGAATTGCACATTGACATCTATTACAATATTTCAGCAATGAAGACAGAGTGAGATTGCCATCCCACAATTACAAAATTTGAAACAAGGATCTGAACTTCAAGTAATCCACGCCAAATTAAGTACAAACACTTACAGCTTGAGGCTGTAATGTGCATGCTGTGTGTTCACACATGTATCATCTGAGCATATTCTTGGTGCTGAACGTAGGGAAAGGTGCATATTTGGAAAACCTGTGTCCAATGTGTGTTCTTTTCTTTCTGTTTTTTTATTTTTCTTTTCAGAGTAACAAAAAAATCAGTTCTGCTAAGACTTAATATTGCACTAATAAAGAGGATTACTTGGTCTTTAAACAGGTTTTTGACATTTTTTAAGATATCAATCTCACGTTTTTCCTATGTTTGTTATATAACAGATAGCAAACTGATAACAAACCCTTTTAAAAATAGTATTTTTCAGTCTGTAGGACCATTTATTTATTGGCAATAAAATGGCATTTGTAAAGTACATTCTAGAAATAAGCTACTGACACAGAAAACATTGCACAAAAATGAATTGCACAGCATTATATGTAGCAGTGACATTCTGATTCATCTTTGGGGAGAAATAAAGCATTTTATTGAGAAACAAAATGTTTGCAAATTCAGTCACGTATTTACAAGATGCAGAAAGTAGTTCAGAAGACTTCTAAAAAAATCTCTTATGAGACAGTTTACCTATCTCTACATTCATGACATCCATGGAAAATGTAAGAAGGATAATACATGTAGTCTTTATGTAAGCCACCCGACAAGCTAAAAATTCTTACACAATATCATCTAATGCAGATGAATGCCCTGGCCATAACTAAGTGAAGGCAGTAAAGAAACACAACAGAGAAGTACAATAAGGGAAAGGCTTGACATTTCCAGTTACCTTTTTGTGCCATCAGGCAGAATTCTTCTTGAAGCTTCATGTACTCAGTAGAGCACTCCAGAGGGTCCGTTACGTGGCTTGGGGGAGTCTGAAACTCGATGTCGGCACAAAGGTTGGGATTGGACGAATGCAGTCGAACAGGTGACATTGTAGCACTGAAAGGAACCTACAGTGAGAAACAGTGAAGAAATATTGTATAAGGTGCAACCAACCTTTTGACTCTGTTGAAGCAAAATACAGTTTTCTTCTGAAAACAAAATACTTAGTTCACAATGTGAAGAACATGGTAAGAGTGAACATGTAACTTTTTATTCTCCTAAATCTCAGCACAGCCGATGCAGAATTCTCTTGAAATTTTTCACTGCAACAGACAAAAGAAGGCCTAAATACATAGCTAACAGCTAACGATGGAGCATTTCAATTCTAACATTTACAAAAATGGACCATTTCCCAATGCTTAAAAGATGACTGAAAAATTGAACCATGACACATGCTGCTTTATACTTGGACATTTGAGAGTACATGTAGTATGACTCTGTTGTTACAATACCAACATTCGAAGTATGCAAGTTCCTACACAGATCTAGAAATAGGATATAATATTACCAAATATATCATTGAAGTTTTTCAAAACTACTGGTAAATCTTGAGTTGAAACTCACTGTACTGGCAATTATGAAGAGGGAAAAAGCATATAGTCTTTCTATATTCTTTCTAACTAAACAAATAAACAACAACCAAAAAAAAAAAAAAAATCAAAACTCGACCTGTTTTACATTTAAGTATATGAACCACAAATAAATGCAGAGAAACATGGTTTAGTAAGATGGAGCAAAGAATTTAGTTTATTATCATTTCCACTTCTCTTTCTATACCTTTCAGGTACTGTAACAAAAATATACATGTAAATCTTTATAAGTTATATACACATCTATCATGTGTACTGAACAGTTACCTATATGCTACATATGCAGTGTATGGCTACCACTGTTATATATGCGATGTGTATGTGTGACCGTATGTTGTATTTTATTTTAATTTTACCATTTACATACATGTCTAAAAATCAGACCAAGAACACAATTTTCAAATTTAAATGCAAAGGAAAGGCATGCAGAACTACATTTTGTTACCTAAATATTAAGCACTGTTAAACACATTGAACACATTAAATCTAATTTATTTCATTATATTGATCAAATGCATAAATCAAGAATTTCCACACTGCAGCTCAATATAATTATTCAAATATGAAAAATGGGGCCAAAATATAAAATGTGTTTTCCAAGGCATGATAAAGAGCAGCAGATAACATAAAAAGTCATATTACTAAGAATTTTTATCAACAGGTAAGTTCTATACTACCGTCAATATTTGAAATTGGTACCTTATTATTTGATTAGATCAGGGAATGGTTTTATCAATCCCTTCCTGTAAAAGTTGTCATTGATATATGTTTTAGGTTTCTGATTCCCCAATGAAACCCTCAAAATCCTGTTGGATCTATTCATCACATCTCATTCCACTCATAAGCGTATTATGCAAAACACCATTTTCCATCCTGTTCTTCCTCAATTTCCAGATACATATAGCACATAAAATAATAGCTCTATGGTACCTGTCCAGTATAAACTTTATTCTCTTCTCTCATGTATTTTGATTTCCAGCTATATCAACAAAGTAGGGGTATTTATTGGACCTCATTTTAGCCTCATATCAAGAAGACTCCATTAACAGGAGATGTAGAAAAAATTCCTTCCATTCGTACTGGATATTTACCCCATTATCTTCTTCACGAGTACCAGACTGCCTCTCTCAACAGCCCAACAAAACTAGGTTAATTGACTAATGTGACTAAATGCAGGTAAATTTCAAGTTTCCTTTACAAAACCTTTTCACTTCTTAAATCGGAGAGCATGTTCCCAGAACTTTCTGACTGGGAGCACCACAAAGGTTCAATTGCTCCAGGAGGGCAGAGTAGGTGGCTACATGATAGCTGGGTGCGCAGGGAGCACGTACCCAAGCCTCAAGCCCATCCAGAAGGCAGGAAAGAAAGCTGATCCCAGCTATAATGCAGGACCTTGAGGGAGAGTCCCCACAGCCCCACATGCCTGTGCTGATGGGGCAGATTGCCCCAGCCCCACACAGACTGGCAGAGCTGCAGGCAGGCTGCCCACACATGAGGGGGGGTCTTTAGTCACTTTGTGATGAACCTAGCTGAAGAGACCTGTTTTAGATCCATCATTTCTGCCTCATACCTCAGCTGGCCAGGCTGAAAAGCAATGTTTCTGCAGTGAGGTTTATTGGAAAAGTAACATTTTAAAGTATGTCCTAGAAACAGCATTTACATGTTCTACAAATACTGTCACACTGCTTGCAAGAAATATACATTCACATGACAAGTAGCTGCTTTGCCAACTGCTTTAAATACGAGAACCAAAAATATTGAACTGTTGACTGACATGAACTCTCCTCATACGCATCTTTTAGAAAAGTTTCCAAGCTACTGTCCACAACAGATGAAAAAATCCACATTGAACAAACTCTTTCATTCTCTTGAATAGGCAACAGTCCAAGAAACACTGCCAACGTACTTCTCTTCCCCTTTTTTCCTTTCACTGCTGTGCTTGCTGTCTATATCCATGACGACAATTCTGACTTTATAATCCATTCTTTTTATGGTTGATTTTTTGTTGTTGTTTTGGAGGTTTTTTTAAAAATATTTAGCTTCTTGATGCATCACTCTGGTTTCCTTCATACACACACTCTTCTAGACATGACCTCAGATGTACATTGTCCTGACTTTTTGCTTTATGCCAGGGGCATAATATCCACTCATCCATCACCTTCTTCAGAATTACGTGTTCATGTAGGAACAGACTGTTCCTGGTAGAGTGGGTTGTAAGGAAAACCTCCTCTTTCTGCCATGCATTTAACTGATGTAATTCTGTATCCCTCAGTCTATACACAAAGCTTCACTGTCTGGGAGAGACAAGCACTTTGGTACATCAGCCAGGAAGAACGGGCCATTGCCACAACCACTGCAACAGCTGCAGAGTCAGTTTGGTGCCTCTAGTTTTCTTTCGTCCTGCACTTTTTCCAGCTCCTCCAAGATGTCCCTCAACAGGCCCTCACTTCAGCTGCAGGTAACAACTCAGCGATTCCCTGGACTCCTACTGCCTTGCAATCTAAGTCCAGCTGTGTTTGCTCCACTTAAGCACTCCTTGGTACAGCTCTTGCCAATGCTGTTTAACAGAGTCAGTTTGGTGCCTCTAGTTTTCTTTCGTCCTGCACTTTTTCCAGCTCCTCCAAGATGTCCCTCAACAGGCCCTCACTTCAGCTGCAGGTAACAACTCAGCGATTCCCTGGACTCCTACTGCCTTGCAATCTAAGTCCAGCTGTGTTTGCTCCACTTAAGCACTCCTTGGTACAGCTCTTGCCAATGCTGTTTAACCTGCTGAACACCAGCACTCCTTGGTACAGCTCTTGCCAATGTTGTTTACTGCTGAACCTACTGGTTAGAGCCTCCCACTGACAGTGCTCAGGCACATAAACTGAGAAGCGGGTTGATTTCTCTGCTAGGCAGGCAGACCAATGAGGTCAGAATATCAATCAATTATTGAGCACAGCATTCAGCATCAACTGATTACGGGGGATTAAATTTAGATGAGTTAATTTGGAAACTGGAGAAACACAGATTTCTCTCATGCTTTTCAGGAGGGCCTAACAGTAACTGAGTTTTGTGGTTCAGGTAGCAGGAGCTCAAGGTATTCAGGCTTAAGCAGAAGCTATGTCTGATCTAGGGGATTTTAGCTATGGGCTGGAGCAGCCGACCCTGGAATACTTTAGCCTGGAGAAGACATTCACTGCTTGGGCTAGGTAAGGGGTATGCGTTTAAAGCTCACTTCAATCTTTGGCTGCATAGAGTCTCCCCTATCTAGATGTTGTACTACTCAGTTGATGGATTAGTACTAATGTCTATATCGTGCATTCCTAATAAGTGCTTTCCTGATAAAGCAGCAGCTGAAGATATCCTTTTGATGCTAATTTGATTTCACAAACAGCGCTTCCCCCTCCCAATTCCCAGCCCCTGTGTTGATTTCATAGCTCCAGATTTTGTGGCGAAGACTTAGAGAATTAGCAAAACTAAATACAGACAGTAGAGGTAGTAATATGACTTTTTGGGATAATGGAATGTAAACAGAAAGTGTCTCAAATGAAAAGGTAAACCTTATACTACTTTAAAAAAAAAAAAAAATCAGGAAATTTTATAATTCCATGGTTGTTGGTAACAAATCTCCTTGGTTCTGCTGTCTTGCTATAGGCTGTCATGAGAATCTTTTAACAGAATTTGATCATTTCTTTCCATTTTGTATAGTAGATAGCAGAGTATGTCAAAGACGTTCAAATAGCACGGCCTGCGTCTAACCGTCACTTGCACTTGAATAAAGGAGGAGGGACATGTGCCATGTAAACAAGCTCAGACCCACATTTATGGAATTAATTTGTGTCAGGCCTGACCACTTCTAAGAAACTCAGCTGAAAATGGGTAGCATGGACACCTCCAAAAAGTGCAAGAAACATTTTCATAAGCTTATTACACATTCAAGTTACACAGCTTCCCATCTTTAGAGCTATCCCTTGATTTTTAAATCCACTCACTGTTGTAGCCACTGCAGCTGCTAGTCTCTGCCGGCGTCGTGTTGTGCTGAACTGGCCCTTCGGTGCCGGCCCTTCCTGACAGTGAATGCAAGAAGAGAAGGAAGTAGAGAAAGAGAAGGGAAGGGGTGATGGGACACAGGAAGGTGAAAGGTGATCAGAAAAGGGAGAGGGAGAGTCTTTAAATGGATTTCAATTTTGTTAACTCTTATGGCCTACACATTCTGAGGACGTCACATGTTTTCAGTTGTGTATGCCAGAGACATGAAAAAGCTAGATACTTCACTAAAATTATCTCCAGATGAGCTGGACCGCAGTGCACTCACTAAGACTACAAAAAAAAAAAATTTCTATTAGCATTGCCATTCAGAGTCATAAGGCAATTATGGAATAAGAAAACAAAAAGGATGCTATGGCATGGCAGAAAACACAAAACCCAAACTCCTTCTGGGGGTCACTTGACCATCTAGAAGATGAATTCTGAAAGAGGTCACTTTGCATTAGTGG